ATATATATTAAATAAATAAAAGATGATTCAATGGCCTGCACTGCAAAATTTCTGGTTGATTCCCAAGCTCTCCTGGATAAAAAAAAACTAAGCCCAGGACTTCCTTCCCCCAGGTGGTACCAATCACTCAGTTTCACTACGGTCCTGGATGCCATGGTGACTCTGTAGGATCATGTTCTCTCTGATCACCTTTCCTCCCTTGAAGATCCTTCCTTATTTGTTTTGCAGGATCGAGGTGGAAGGCATACCATTGATCCTTGTGGCTTCCTACTGGCACCAAGACGTGGGGTACACAGACATCTTTCGGATGCTGGCAGACTCCCATTGGTTGTTCCCAGACTGACCGGTCCATCTGACTTCAGGCCCACTATTCTATCCTGGTTCTCGGTCGCTAGCTTGGTGGCTGGGCTGTTGAAATCCAGGTCCTGAGATAGATATTCCCACACTCTTGCATGACAGGTTCACCTCTCATCACACTTGGAGGGCTTACTTTACCTGGTGTGAACAGCTGAGGTTTTAGCCTCAGAAATACTCGAGATGGATTCTGGTCTTTCTTCAATCAGGGTTGGATTAGCACCTAGGCATGAGTAGTCTCAAGGTTCAAATATCAACCTTGGCCACTCATTCCTTGGTAAAGGCTTTTGTACAGGTGGTCGCCCATGTGCCTCCTTCTAGACACCCTTCAGTGATGCTGTGGGTTCTCAACTTAGTTCTTTAATCTATCCAGCAAACTCCAGCTGGCAGTGCTATTTTAAAGAACCATTCCTTGTTCTTAAAAAGTATAAGGTTGTTCTCATGCTTAAGGATTCCTTTTCAACTAAAGGTGGTGTCTTTTCATCTTAAACAGGACATCATCCTGATTTCCTAATGACTGGCCCAGAAACATCCCAACAAGATTTCCCTTCAATGTTTACATGTGGTTCGGGCTGTCTGAGCCTATGTCTTGGCTACAGCCTCAGTCAGACAATCAGATTGTTTCTTTGTCCTTCCTGAGGATAGCACCAGGCAGACGCGATGTTATGTGAGTGATAAAAGAATAATACTCTTTATTTAAAAAATGTTGATTATTAAATTAGTGCCAGATCCTCATACAAAAGCCCTAAAAACAAAGATAACCAAACCAGGCCATGCAGTACCCAGCCTGCCATACAGGGGAAACCAGTTCAGGTCCCAGGAGAACAATCAAAGTTAGGGTACAATTGGGCCAGCCAACACCAGATGGGTACTCACTACATTGCAGACGGAGTGTTACAGTTCCACATCCAAGAGATTAACAACAACAAAGCATCCAAAGGATCATCGGATCTAGAACCGGGTTTAACTGTCCTACACTGGGACCCCAAAGTGTATCTACTGTTCCAGCTGTAGAGAGAAGATCCAATGAGGAAGCCAGTTAGGGGGAATCAGTGAGCAGGTAATTCTGCATAGTAACCTGTCCACCAGTAGTACTAGACAGTCCATAGGAAGGATGATCTCCAGGGTATCACATGGAAAGGGCACCACAGCTTGCCACCTTCCAGCTACTCCTCAGAATCTCTCTGTCCAGTTTCGGCAACACACAACCCCCAACCATGTGGGTATGTTAGGCTTTAAAAGGAGAACTATGAAGGGAGTGATTTCCACTCATCCTTGTAGTTAGAGCCGACCTGTGACAAAGGAGCTGTCACAGGTCGGCTCTATTGACCGGGAAGTGAGCAGAAACATGCAGCCGATCCGCTCACTTCCCGATCGTCTTCCTGCAGTGAGCGGTAACTGATCCTCCAGCGCCGAGTGGAGAAACGAACAGGGAAAGGGGCAGGCATAGCTGCCGCCAGTTCGGCAGAGCCAGCTGTTACTCACGCAGCTGGGTGGATCACGACAGTATTGTCGGGATTCGTCCCGGGTGCGGTGATCTCAATATATAGCGTGCAATAGCCTGCTATATACTGAGCTTTGATTCACGGGAGGTTAGTATATGTCCTCCCTTGACCCTAGAAAACTGGGGAAAAACACTTACCCCATAGTATTTCTTTAAGATTTCCTTCCTGGAGGTGTGAATGGGGGAGGGTCTGTGAGTTAACAAAGGCTGCCGGCTCTCCATTGTTTCCTAGTAGGGACACTGCACAAAGCACCAGAAAGTTCAAGTAGGAATTAGCTCAGCCTGGAAAGTGAGTTGCAACCAGGTACTTAGAAACTTCCAGTAAGCTGCAGGCTAACCTTCAACCATGCAGATTTTGTCCCAGGGCTCACTGCGTCTCATTTTACCAGTGGATTGGACAGGTCATTGTGCAGTCCTATTCTGCTAAGGGTAAGGCTCCACTTTTTGCTTTGAAGGCGCACAATAATAGATCTGCCAGTGCCTCAAACATCTGCCACCCGGTCTTCTGTTCTTATATTCACTAAGTTTTACCAGGTGGATATTCTGGCCTCTGCTGATGCTAGTTTCAGATGTAAAGTGCTACAGACGGATATCAGAGTTTGGATTTTCCCTTTCTTTCTCTTTTGGTGGCCTGTTGGTGATTGATTGCCGTGTTGCCCACCCCTCTGTTCTAATCGCTTTTGGACTTCCCAGTTGGCTTTGAAGCTGCCTGTGCCCTGTACCAGTTTATTTTAATACCTGCATCATTAGAGACATTATGCTCCAAAGCAATTGAGAAGGGATGTCCTTGAACTGGAGAGAGTCCAGCGGAGGGCAACAAAACTAATTAGGGGAATGGAGGACCAGATCTATGAGACAAGGCTTCTGACCTTAAACATGTTTACGCTGGAATTAAGGAGATTAGGGGGGGATATGATTCATGTACAAGATGTTCAATGGTGACAGCAACATTGGCAACAAACTGTTTGAGATTAGCTCCATTACAAAGACTAGAGGCCACCACCTAAAATTGGTGGAGAAAAAATTCCAGCACAATGGGCGAAGAGGGTTCTTTACAGTAAGAGCGGTTAAGGTCTGGAACTCACTGCCACCGGAAGTGATTTCAGCCAAGAGTGTAGATTTGTTCAAGAAACGTTTGGACAATTTCTTGAGGGACCGTAATATCCAGGGATACCAGTATCCCTAAGAATGAGATGATGCGTGGACCTATATGGGTTGGACTTGATGGACGTATGTCTTTATTCAACCCCAGATACTATGTAACTGATTGCAAACCAATGTTGTAAGACCCGTTTTTTTTTATTTCTTTCTTTCCCATGTCTCTTCTTCTTTCTAGTTTCTCTCTGTGTTTTGTGTTTTAAGATGAAGTTTGTTTGCTATGAAGATATAGCAACGGGAATGACTGCTCCTATGTTCAGGGACTACAAATTGTAGAATTCGGATTGTTCTTTCTAATGTTGATGTAGCGTGTGCTACCGTGTTAAAAACCACTGTTGTAGAACTTTAGTAAATAACAAGATGATGAAATTGGATCGGTAGGATAAATGCCGATTCCTGGAACTATTTCCTAACGTGAGCCACATCGAATTAATCTCTATGGAAAATAAATATTACAGCATATGTAACCGAATGGCCACTTACAAACATATTTAGCTAATTGTGTTTCCAAACAGATTCTAGTATATATTACAGCATGCGGCCACCATACAGGACACCTGGATACAGTTCACAGTGTGGTCTTAACAACGAAAACACAGCCATGTTAAAACCCATATGTTTTGCTTATTGCCGTAACCAGAGCACATAGTATTACTTGCAGAAAATTAATGGACTGTTTCTACTCGCTGATCTTAAATGCACGTAAATTAGATTTATTGTAACATGACCAGAAGTAAGCCCCAATGAAAGCTACACAGAATGATTAAAATTACATCAAACTGTATCAAGACAAATAACGTTGTCCATTTACTTTATTTCCGGCTCTGTGTGAGGATTACATTGGAACTTTGTGGTGTGAACCAAAATGCTGCCCAAAGCACAATTTACACCATCATTTTACATAAAGAAGATGGACAAATTGAATTACCGATATTACAAAAAAAAAAAATCTGTAGGCACAAAGGACCAATGAACACATACAGCCCAGGGCAAACAGACTGCATAAATAATGCTTTGAATTCATTGTTTTTACATCAAAATTGATCCAAGATTCTTTGCAGCAAAATCAAATGCTGCAGTGCCAATCTTGCAAGTAAAAAATGTGTGCCAATTGTTTAAAACAGAAGCCAGTTATCGGAGTATTGTGGAAAGGTAGTGGGCAGGCACATTGGAACTGTGGGGGCTGTAAAACTGAGCACTGTCAAACCAGTGTAAATTCTTGGTTTCCCATGGAAAACAATTTAAAACTACTTATTTTTTTCCTCCAAACCACGGGTTCAATCCTTGGTTTCTCCCCTCTTCGATCTTCATTTCTTTACAAAATTAGAACATCATCTGAAGCGAGTTCCAGCGTTTAAAAGCATTATATGATTTCAAACACTTTTTTCAATTCAACTATGAGTTGCCAGTCTGATTTCTGCATTTCATCTCTAAACCAGTTTTTCAAAGCATCAATTGATTGTCGGTTGATCTAAAAACAAAAATAAAATAAAAAAGGAATACAAGAATGTGAAAAAACAAAAACTACCAAGGTAGCTTAAACAGGAACTTACAAGTTCTAATAAACTTGTACTGAGAAAATATGCTAGCTGCCATTACTTACACTCGCTTTTGGAACATGCTAGCTGCCTGGTGTCGTGCTTACCGCGCTTTCAGTACCTTCCGAGTATCTGACCCAAAGTACACACATGAGAAGTTATAGCTTGACTTTGGTTGATCTATTCTTTTTCCAGGTCAGTTACACATAGTACAGAAGATGGGGGACAGCCAATCATCTGCAGCCACTGGATTACTTTCAGTACTGGTGAAGCCTAAATAATACAGCTGTATATTTTTAAAGTGTGAATTACTCACCTTGCTAACAAGATGGTCTGTTGCTTCAAAGTGTCGGCCAAACATCTTTGGAGACTCGCCAGGGATAGGCTCTATTTTAATACAGATTTCTTGGCCCTTTCTTGCCACATCTACAGCTTTGTGGTTCATTTCAATACTGGTTATGATGCCGATATCTACAAACTAAAAATGCAAGACATGTCACATACATTTCAGAGGGGCCACACATTTTCTAAACATGCAGGGCTCAGGGTGTACAAACTCTGATATTCCCATTACATGTAGTGAAGGCTATTTAACAATAAATCACCTTTTTTTGGTCATCAGAATGTGCAACACACCTTTTTCAGGCGTTAAAGGAGAACTATGAGGTGAGTGCTTTTTACTCTTAGTTCATAGTTCTAGCCGACCTGTGACAATGAGACTGTCACAGGTCGGCTCAATAGATCGGGAGGTGAACGAACACATAACGGCGCTCGCTCACTTCTCGATCCTGCCGTGACAGGGAGGGGCTGGATTCCCCCCTCCGATCCGCCAGCGCTGACTGGCGGAACGGACGGGGGAGGGGGCGGGTTCAGCTGGCTCTGCCTCTAGAAAGGCAAAGCCAGCTGTCACTCACGCAGCTGGGCGGATCTCGACATTGATGTCGGGATCCGCTCCGGCGTCTCAGTATAGCGCGAGTTGTAGCTTGCGGTATACTGGAGCTTAGAGTGACGGGAGGATGCTAGTTTGTGTCCTCCCGTTACCCTAAGGAGAACTATTGGGGAAAAGCCCTAACCCCATAGTTCTCCTTTAATAAATGAGAACCTACTGCGTGCTACTGATTGGTGGTGATATACAGATTAACTTTAATGGAAAGTGCAAATAGCCCATAAATGGGGTAAGGATTCATGCACACTGGAGATCAGGATTTTCCAACTGTGTATACAGTACATCTTTGTAACGCATCCCTCCTGGGTGACTTCAATCGGAAGTCAAAAAAAAAAGAAAAATGCTGACCAGTAGGCTCTTTATGACAGACAAGACCGTACATGTCTCTTCTGCCATAAAAGCATGTTGCTGCCTATTAGCAATTTTCTTTTCCTGTACACTGAGCAGGCATGACCAGCTCACTGTACAAGCTCGGCATGCTGAGATGAAGTAACTCCTGTGCGCATGCGTGGGAGTTAAATCATCGGGGCCCGGCCAATCAAGTAGCCGAGGAATCGGAACCCAGAAGTGGGAGGAAGCAGAGCTGGAGGGGATCGATTCCTATATATGCAGTGCTCCAAGTTAGGCACATGTTCACAATACAGAATAGTTTTTCAAGTTACTTAAAGGCAACATAGACACAGACTGGCACATTCTCTAATTGCCAATGTTCACATGCATTTAATGTCTTCATGTTCTCGCTTTCTAAATATATCAATGTTTAACTTTTAGCTACAACACAGTTACAGCAGATCTCCGAATGTTCACTGGTGAATGAAGCCCCAAAAAATGACCCATATAGGCAGCAGAAGTAAAATTGTTTTTCAGCGAGGAATGCGCTCACTTAAAAACTGGCCTTAAACATTCTGCTCTATTGAAATGTAATAAAATTCATTTTAAAGGGCAGCAGCCATAAATACATCAAATATTTTTTTTATAAAACCAACACAACTCGAGGTACTTACACTTTTACTTGGTACGCATATTGGTGTTCCTTGTTTGACTTGCCCAGCTTCTATAATCACTCCCATGACAATGGGATCTCGAGAATTAAAAATAAATTGAGGAAGAATTCGTATTTTACATGGGAACACAGCTATGTGCCTAAAGTGGAAAATAAAACAGTATTGGTTTGATGTAGTCAAGCGCAGAGAATAGACATGTTTCCCAAACATTATACTCAAGCTGGACCTACACTATGCAAATTTCAGCTGGTTCATAATTATTATACAGGATTTTTATAGCGCCAACAGTTTGCGCAGCGCTTTACAATATAAGGAAGACATTACAATCACAATACAATTCAAGACAAGATGGTAAGGAGGGCCCTGCCCCTGAGGGCTTACAATCTAAAAGGGAGGGGGAAGTGATACAAGAGGTGGTAGCTGTGTGGGGATGAATTGTTTGAGAACATGATGGTACAGTGGTTAGTTTGAGGTGGGATAGGCTTCCCTGAAATGTGTCTTAAGGGATCGCCTAAACCAGTGGTTCTCAACCTTTCTAGGGCCGGGACCCCTTGGTAACATTTGCCAAGTTGTCGTGACCCCCAACGGTAAAATTTAGGGATGACGGGGCTGCTGCAGCGACATCTGGCGGCGTGGCGGGAGAACTGACACTGCTGCACTAGGAGAGGGCTGAGGAGGACTCTCACCTTGCACAGCAGAAATCACACAGCGACCCACAGGTTGAGAACCACTGCTGTAACAGCTAAAATGGCAAACCATATAACACAAGCCGAGGGTGTCAGCTTTTATTATTAATAATAATGATGATAAAAGGTTTATGTTTTCTTTTAGAAAAAAAATACTATTATTTTTATTACTATTTATTATTAGAGGGGGTCACACCAAAATGACCGTCAGTCATATTGGTGTCACCGCCTCCACTGGTGGCATCCGGGTGCGGGCTGCACCCCCTTGTGACGCCACTGAATGCTGGGACTTGTAGTTCCCTAGGTGATATGCGGAGGCTTACAACTACAAGTCCCATCATGCCCTCATTATCCCTGTACACCACATATCACCCTGGGAACTACAGGTCCGAGCATGCCCTCATTGTCCTTGTACACTTCCCCTCCATATCAAAGTGTTATTATTCCTAAATAAAATGTATGTGGACAGGATTAGGTGCCGGAAATCCACCATTGGGGAGGGCGGTGATGCCTGCAAATTGTGTACTGACAGTGTAGAAACCTTCCACAGGAAAGTTCTCTCTCTTTTATTGACCTGGATTATTATATACAATATACAGTATATCTATCAGTGATATACAACACGTCACACAATGCACAGGACACAGAAACATAGGAATTGGGCACTAGGACTTGATGAAGCTTACAAGCTCACAGGGACA